TTTTTTTTTTTTGTCTTTTCTTAATTCTCTGTCAAAGCGTCTTTGAGTTTCATGAAAAGCGCTATAAAAGTATTATTATTATTATTATTATGGCTGGACCGAGTGTAATTCCACCAACATGTGGCTACGACTTTCTCAAAAATGTCTGAAGTCCACCCATATGTAGTGTAAACAACTATTCACTGATAGCAGACCAGAAATCCTACAACTTGTTGGAGACTTGTTAAGACAGGACATTTCAGTCCAGAGACCTTGATCAGGGATAATTCGACAAACCAAAAAAGTGCCTAAGCAAGATAGACACTAATCAGTGAAGCAAAGATCTCAACTCTTAAACTCCTCATTATAACATTTAACATTGACGACAGAACATGTTCCTATTTTCCCGGGCAAAAACATATCACCAGCTTTGTATTTTAAGTGAGAAGTTGGTCATTAAAGGAACTGTCATAAGAACTGTATATTATGTATTATCACAGAAGTGACTGTTATTTTCTATATATTGATTCTTGTGCTTTTATTTAGGTCTTAATGTCTGCACATGTATAAATGTGTCTTTGATTGCATACATATCGTTATATATATATTTGTATTTTTGTATTTGGGATTGTGGGAAACGGTATTTCGATCTCTCTGTCTGTACACACAAACCGGAAGATTGACAATAAAGTTGACTTTGACTTTTTGACTGACTTTGATTTCTGTCTTTTTTCCATTTCAGCCAGAAAATGAGTTTACTTGAGCGTGTTCGCCTTCCCAGCGCTCGCCAATCGATCGGGTCGGGGAAGAAGCTCATGGGTCCGGCCGACTCCATCGAGGAAAGTCCGTCCAAGGAGCCCAAACCCGCCGGCTTCAGTAACAGAGAACGCTTTCGCACCGCCTTCCGCATGAAGGCCTACACGATGCGTCAGAGCTCTGAAGGTACGCAACAAATAAGGGCTGCGATCATAACAATAAAGGCTTGGTGTTTGTTGGGAAAATACTGAATGTACTCTTCCAATATCAGAGTACACACATGGTAACTCAAACACTCCATCCAGCACCAGACCCTTTTTACGCTGCTATCTTGCACTAATGTACATTTCCCAAAGATATTGAAGTGACTGTTATGTTGGTTGTGCTTTTATTTATGTCTTAATGTGTGCATGCGTATACATGTGTCGGTTGATTGTGTATATACAGTATAGGATATACATATTTATTTCAATCTCTCTCTCTCACGCAAACTGAAAGATTGACAATAAAGTTGACTTCGACAAAGGTATCCCAACTGTAGCTGTGAACATGACAGGATGTGTGATTACCTAGAAGAGCATCAGGACTGTTTGAGGCATATGATAGCTATGTGATTAACATGATGATTCAGCCTCTATGGAGAGAGACATATGACAAGCATGATCATTTCTGACGTGGAGCTAATCTGAAGTAAACATTGAATACTGCTTTCTATTCCTCCATCTTGTGACTGTGGAACTCCCTCTCTTGGATATCAGCATGTGAAGGACACTGCTCAGGAACTAGTTGATGCTCTGTATGTGATGACTACTTCCATTCTGGAGAGGATCACAGATACATGGATCCTGAGGTTCAAGATCAAGCCGGGGACCAGGGATTAGTAACATTTTGAAATTTTGAGAAAAAGTCATAATTTTTAGATTTTGAGAAAAAATCTGAATTTTGAGAAAAAATCTGAATTTTGAGAAAAAGTGGAGTTTTGAGTGTGTGTGTGTGATTTTTAGCAAAAGTCATAATTTTGAAATTTTGAGAAAAAGTCATAACTTTGACATTTTGAGAAAAAGTC